GGAGCAGCAGGGGAAGCTGAGACTCTGGCAGCCAGCCTTGGCAGAAAGTGGAGCACCATCCATGATGGTGCGGAGTGAGGGGAATAAGGCTCCCTTTACGAGTCGGCAAATGACTGATCTTGCTCGGGAAGGTGAGCAGAGAGAGTAAGTTGGATTGTGTTATTAGAGATCATCTTCCTTCTTATCTTCACAAGTTTCCTCAGCACTCGTGAATAAGAATCTATTGAGTGCTGAGCATGATGGTTCACGCCTATTATCCTCATCACTTGGGAGGCTGAGGTAGGAGGATCAGAAGTTCAAAGGCAACCTCAGTAATTTAGTGAGGCTGTAAGCAACCTGGTAAGACCTTGCCTCAAAGTAAAAAATGAAAAGGGATGGGGCTATGGCTGTGGTTAAGCATCCTTGGGTTCAATCCCTGGTTTCCTGGTACCAAGCAACAATAACAACAGAAACTATTGAGTTCTGTAGAATTTTTTCTTTTCTTTTTTCCTTTCTGGTGGAGTGTGTCCAGGAGGGCTGTCCAGGATGGGGTGAGGGGAGCTTTGGATGCATAGAAGCAGGTAGAACTCTAAGGAAGAACTACGGAGGACCCCTGATTTTTAGTAAATAGGAATAGACCATACTCTTCATTTTATAACCAAGCTTAGGAACGAAGTTGATCACCTTGGGTCTGTTAATCACTGTGTCCAGAGTTAACAGTTCCATCTTTGCCAAGAGTCCTATTTTAGAAAATTAAGTAAGGGCAAAGTTCAAAACACCTCCTCCCTCATCTCCCTTAGTACCTTCAGTCTCTCCCAAGCTCAGTTCCGGCTTAACCAGCAATACATTAACTTGGTTTTCCTGTTTATTTATTCTCACTTACTGCCTCTGAGTCATGGTCTCTTCTCTAATGGTTACTGCCTTTGTTACGCATGACCCTTGATAACCATGTCCTGACCCACAAGCAGTTCTTTTTTGTTCCAGTTCCTTTATCCCTGCTGAGGACCAAAGGCAGAGCTAGATGAATCTGGAGGCAAACTTCCCCAAGAGTTCAGGAACTACATGAAGATATTTAAATGCCCAAGCACAGAAAAGATGACAGCATTCGCCTCCCTCAATTATCCAAAGTAAAGGCAACATGAAACCAGACAGGAAGTGTAAGGAAGCGAGTCTTCTCACAATGTCTTCTACTATGATGCTGGTTTGGCAATAGCAAATTCTTCCTGCCCAGACTTCTAAGTCCTTGTCTCCTGGTCCTGGGTTCTGCCTATCTGTTGGGCAGATAACTTTAAATTATATATCTGTGTACATCTGAGGGCAGGTCTATGAGTTTCAATTGTAAGGAAAAGAGAAATCAAGCCGGGGTCATCAGGATGAATCTAAGGGAAGCCAGCATGAAGTTGGTGTCAACCTTAAGAGATTCAGAGGACCCAATAGTCCCAAAAGGGTCAGAGGAGGAGCCAGACAGCAAGGATCTAATCATTTTAAGCTGAATTTACTAAATGTACCTTTTTACTTATTTTGTTATTATAGTCTTTAACTCTGTGAGGTCAGCTTCCAGGTCGTGTTCTTTATCCTTGTTCCCTCTTAGCACATACAGTCATAGGCACTAGAATTCTAGTCTTCCCAGAACATCTGCCAAGTCCCTCCTATGTATTATCTTCTTTACTCTTCATAACAATACTCCAGAATAGGTATTAGTTTAGCTCCTAATTATTAGCTCGTGATTTAGTCACAGATTGACCTAAGAATATTCTCAAGATCACACATTTAGGAAAAACAAAAAAACACAGAGCCAGGATTCAGATCCACCTTTATTCTGCCAAACCCACACTTATCTCTACTAACATGCACCTGGTGTTACTAACATTTAGTTTTAGTTTAGTTTTAAAAAATATTTCCACAAATTGTTAGTTATACTACCATGTATTTTACAAATAAGAGTGAATTCCTATTTTGGTTATCTTAAAAATAAAATAATCAAAGAGCATTCTCTTTTTATTGAAGGACTCTTGGTGCAGTTTTTATAGGAAAGAAGGTGGAATTCGAGGGGACCATCAAAGAAAAGTCAGATCCAAAGATACTGGAGGGATCTTCCTAGACCTGAATTCTGGAGACGGTGCTTACCTTTAATCAAGCTTGCCCAGGGATTTTGTGGTTCAGTCATGGAGAGTGACGGAGGATCTGAATATTGGCTGTTGGCTGGAGCCAGTGAAGAATAGAGGCGTCCATGACCCTACGTGAGTCCCTTGTCCTCGCCGTGGTTCATCTACAGTTAGGAACGGGCAAAGGACACAAAACAAAACAGACCAACGGAAGTTCCTACATGGAGAGTACCAGGGGTGGTGTGAACAAGTCACTTAGGAAGAAGGAACTCTCACCTCCATTACTGCAGTCTTGTCTTCAGACGAAGCGCTGAAGCACGTCTCTCTGGGTTCTATTTCGAGGGGAACCTGAAAACCATTCGACTTTGCCAATGGCGCCTTAACAAGTCAGTCTACAGGGGGCGCTGCGAGGGAGACTGCCAAGCTGGAGGAGGGACTTCTGGCCCCAGCTACTTCCGGTGTCTCTGAGCAGCCTTGTCAACGGTGCTCTTGGTTAGTTTGTATCTGCTCCAAAGTCGGTTTATAGTAACGACACCAGCGACCTCCCAGAGGCCTGGATCTCAGTTCAGGGGCCCTCAGCACTAGTTGAGCAGAGTAACCTCCTCAGATGTCTGAGTTTCTGCTCTTGGGGACTCTCCTACTCAAATTTTAAATTTGGTAATTTCCAACTTGTCCCTAACTCCAATCTGAGTGGTAGCTACTTCCAACAGTTGCTATTGCCCAAATAACTGAATGTTGTCACCTCTTCCTACTTTTGCAGTTATCTACTTTATACCTGGTCAAGTTCTTTAAAATAAATTCTTCAATTCAGGTATCTGGCCAAGGATGCAGCTTTTGTGGAGTGGTAGTTGGAGGAAATGGGGCAGGTGGTGGTGGGGGAACAATATCAACAGCTTTGAAGAAAGTATTTTCCACACTCTGTTGCCAAAACTACCCCATAGGGTTCTCACTGAATCCAGCAACCCATAGTGTAATCCATTCTTTAAATGGCCAAGAACCTCAGGCCCCCAGACCTCAGACCTCAGAAATTAGTGAGGGAGAGCCACATTCTGGACTCTGTAGGTATGTCTACAACATGCAGATTATTAACAGTCATCTTAGGTAAATGGGATTTTTTTTCTTAATGAAGCAATTTTGAAGGACTCTGGTTTTCATTGATTTTTTAAAAGTTTTAGTAAAATAACAATAGAAAAAAGTCCTTGAAGGTTTTTTTTTTTTTTTTTTTTTTTTAGTGTCTCAATCATGCACTCCTAACATGAGGAGTGACACTCCCTAACAAAAGAAGGCTGGGGCACACCTGTGTGTTTCTATGGTTCCTTGTTGGGTGAGGAGGGAAATGCTTTTAAGTTCTTGTATGAGCAGTGATAGGTTCTTTGGAATAGTTTCATGACAGGAGAGCACAGGTAAAAACTGGGTTGTTCTGATCAAAATGCTTGCTTTCTCAGATATTGCTAACATTTTTTTCCTGCCTTACTCACATGCCTAGATGATTCCTGATTGAGAATTTGCTCTTGACTGATTTATGTAAGCTTCTTTCCTTATCTGAGAGTAGGAAGCCAAAAGGTGAGTGATAGAGTCACCTGCTGCTCTACTTTGCAGAGATCCTAGAGGAATTTGCATCAGTCTTGGACATCTTGTGAATATCAGAAAACATATTTTGGAGGTTAGAAAAAGACCAGGGAATATGGTGTCTACATTTGCTTCCATGGAATCCAACCTGTCTTCACTTGAAAACAGGATCACATCCTTGCTTAAGGAGGAAAGAAGCTATTAAAGGTGAGCTTTTCTTTTAATTTTTCCTTTCTTTAGCTTCCCATAAAAGTTACTTCTAAACAGGGTAAAATCTTGTGCTTAGAGATGCAACAAAGAAAAAAGGATGCATCACATTTTGTTTCTATCCTTTCAGAGATTTTCCCCCTGCAATATCTGGTTTTCTTTAGTGGTACTCAGTGCCCTATATTATATTAAAAAGGTAGCTGTGATTTGGTTGAGAAAATATTAGACTTGCAGACAAAAATACTAAGGAAGTCCCATATTTGCTTCTTATAGCATGTATGCTATTTATTTTCTGTTTTTCCATTTAAAAAGAGGCCTATTAATATTACATTTTTAAGTTAGTTGTGAAGATTAAATAGGACAATGTAAAGAGATTTCTGGTTCATCGAGGAGATTCATTAAATATTGTATATACACAGCTATGTTTGTCCCTGTGTATAGATATATTTTAAATTTGATGGACTACCTGAAAGGTTACATACCATTTTTGGGATAATATCAAATTGTATTACTTTAAGCACATTTTTAAAAAGGTTGCCTAGGTTCAATATGTGGCCAATGAAGTACATATGGTGAAAAGTATCTTAATATACAGATTGCCAAATAGAAACAAGAAATGTAGTTTTTACTTTTAAAAGGACTTTCAGATATCTAGAACTGGGGCTATGAGTCTGAATTTCATGGATTTTTGTCTCCAGACTTACTGGAAATTCTAGACCTCAGATAAGAGCTACATTCTAGGGTAGTCAGGGGTGGGAGGAAGAATAAGGAATGAAAGATGGGACTTCCTTCTACTAATTATACCTTTATGTCAGCGAATGCTTAGTTCTCTTTCCTTTTCTCTCTCCTGAAGTGGAGGTGGAGCTGGATCCTGATCCTGGTGTGGTCAGCTAGTTGTGGGATCAGGATATAGGTCTCCACAAGAAGCCAGTTGTAAGAGGCTCCTAGGCATGTGTGTAATGAGGATATTTGACCAGAGAAGAAATATATTTTTGCCATCAGTTTGGAGTTGCACTTGACATTGCTGGGAACATGTTCATGATTCATTTATAATTGGAGGCATTTTGTTTTGTCCAAGGAGTCCTCTCTCCTCCACCTCCTCCTCCATTGTACACAAACTCTGTCTCTCATCCTGTGAAAATGATTTCATGGAGGAAACTCTCCCGGCATTATCACTTATGGGCCCTTGGCGGTTATATGCTGCTGGCCGTTGTTGCTCTGAGACTTTCTTTCAGATTGAAGTGTGGTCTGGACTCCAAAGAATTTCAAAGCCAATACTGTAGGGATAAGTTGTACAAGTCCCTAAAGCTGCCAGCAAGGAGGTCCATCAACTGTTCTGGGATCATCCGAGGGGACCGGGAAGCAGTGATCCAGGCTATTCTGAATAATCTGGAGATCAAGAAGAAACGGGAGCCTTTCAATGATATTGACTACCTTCGCCTGACCAGAGACTGTGAGCACTTTAAGGCTACAAGGAAGTTCATACAGTTCCCATTGAGCAAAGAAGAGTTAGATTTCCCTATTGCATACTCTATGGTAGTTCATGAGAAGATTGAAAACTTTGAAAGGCTGCTGCGGGCTGTGTATGCCCCTCAGAATATATACTGTGTCCACGTGGATCAGAAGTCCCCAGAAACTTTCAAAGAGGCAATCCATGCGATTACTTCATGCTTCCCAAATGTCTTCGTAGCCAGTAAGCTGGTTCGGGTGGTTTATGCCTCATGGTCCAGGGTTCAGGCTGACCTGAACTGTATGGAAGATTTGCTCCAGAGCCCAGTGCCATGGAAATACTTCCTAAATACATGTGGGACAGACTTTCCTATAAAGACCAATGCTGAGATGGTCCAGGCCCTCAAGATGTTGAATGGGAAGAACAGTATGGAGTCAGAGATACCTACTGAGTTTAAAAAAAGACGCTGGAAATATCACTATGTGGTGAAAGACATATTGTATATAACTAATGAGAAAAAGGATCCTCCTCCTAATAATTTAACCATGTTCACTGGGAATGCTTATATTGTGGCTTCTAGAGACTTCATTCAGCATGTCTTAACGAACCCTAAATCCCAACAACTGATCGAATGGGTAAAAGACACCTATAGCCCTGATGAACACCTTTGGGCCACCCTTCAGCGGGCCTCATGGATGCCTGGCTCTGTTCCCGTAAACCACAAGTATGACATTTCTGACATGATTTCCATTGCCAGGCTAATCAAGTGGCAGTCACATGAGGGAGATATCAATAAGGGGGCATCTTATGAACCTTGCTCTGGAATCCACCAGCGGACTATCTGTATTTATGGTGCTGGGGATCTGCATTGGATGCTTCAAAACCATCACCTGTTGGCCAACAAGTTTGACCCAAAGGTAGATGATAATGTTCTTCAGTGTTTAGAAGAATATCTACGTTTTAAGGCCATTTATGGGACAGAACTGTAAGATACACTGTTGTGCTACCTGTGAGGCAGGAACATGTGCAAACATGCTATAATTGCTGGGACAATGAAGGGTGGGAATCCAGGGCTTGGGAATCTATGGCATCCCTTAGGATAAGGGGACTACTGTTGGAGTGTAGGTATGTAGACCTGTTCCCTTGCAAATTGCTGCCTTAGGTGAAAGCTGACTCTTCTCCAACAGTTCCTATACTGATTCTAACACAGGGAGGATAAGAACCAGTGTTATTTGGAGATAAAGGAGGAGTGTGTCAGGGGACTGTGGATTTCAGCTGAATACCTGGTGTCAGGTTTTGAACTTTAAGGAAAGGCTGTTCCTAATAAGTCTAGGCTTGGGGGGTGTTAATGGAAAGATAACTTTCCCTTTGGTACTGTTAATTTAAAAATAAATAGCTCCTGATTCAGAGCATTTCCTCTATTTTTTGTCTAAGAAGCCAGAAGTAATGTAAACAGATAAAATGTGTGAGAATTTTCTCATAACTGTTGGTGTCATTTAAAATTTCTAGTGGCTGGCAAGAGAGCCTCCATTAATTATCCCAAAACGGTCCTGGCAACAAGCTGTTTGAATAGCATATTCAAAAGAATGTGGAGAAAGAAAAAAAAAAATAGAGGAACAGAGCTATTCTTTCATTATTGTGACCACTTGTTTTGTTTACATTACCAAATTCATAACTTCTCTACCAGGGAAAAGGTGGGGCAATTTTTAAATGGTTTGACCACTCATGTCTTATGAGAAAATCATGGCACTAATTTTGCCAGCTTCACAGTCAAAATTTATCTGTTTCATAACAGATAATAGTCATTTAGATAAAGTTGCATATAATTTATTGTTACACATTTTTAGTAGGGGGGGGGCACTGCACTGTTAATTATATTGGGAAGCAAAAATAAATAAGGACAATCAAGCTAAACAAGGATATCTGACTATTCCATGTGTAAGCCTCTTCAGTCAAAACTCCCTTTTTTTACTATGTGAATGGAAGTGTTCTTTTTGTGGGGAGATAACAATGATGTGTGAAAATGTTACTTAGGGAAACGGTTTCCTTTCTGAAACTCTGGAGATAATTGCTGGCTATGTGTCATTGTAATGGGCAAGGGGTACTACAAAAATATAGTGATACTATAAAAAGACAGTGGCCTTTGAAGATAACACAGCTGATCTGCATACAGTATGTTCCAAAAAGGCTTTTTATATACAAGTTAATTTGTGTAATTTGAATACTCCCATTAATATGTCATAACGTCATCAATGTGTTTCTACACTTCTGATTGTGATTTAAATAAGGTTTCTCTTAATCAGCAGTCAGCTTCGTCTATAGCCCATGTACCTCTCACGTAGTTCCTGTGTGTGACTCTGAAATTTTGATGTATGTTAGTGATTCCTTTTTGTAAGGTGGTTCTCCATTGGTAGTGGGCATCATCATCCCCAACTTACCTGCTTTGCAATACTGAGTCCTCTTTACCTGCTCCCAGTCTCACTGTGGATATGCTGAAGGATAGTTACAAGTGCAGTGTTTGTGCCCTGTGAGGTCTGTTGCCAGCAGTGGTAACTACTGGCATGTATGATGTTCCTCAGCCCTCCTCTGAGGTGGATGGAAGTACCACTGTGGGAAGTGGACAGAAAAGCATCCTTAAGTACACTTATTCTGAGAAAAAGAACTCAAGTCTTTGGCCACATAGTCAACTTAAAACTTTCATGTGAAATGTTATAATTATATAAATAAATTTTAAAAATCAACATGTGAACTTGTCATTTGGATTGTGTGTGCGTGTGTGGCAGGGCGGGGGGGGGGGCGGTGGTGCAGGGTACAGGGAGTTGTAGCAATTTTCCAAGCACTGAAATTTTCTCTAAAAATATATTCAGGTGAATAGAAAGTGCTCTTCATTTAATAATATAAGGTCTTCATATTATAAGACTTACATTTCTCTGTTTGCTTAGTGTATTTTGGAATTCCTACAGTTAAACCAGCACATATGTTGATTTTTTTCCTTCCTGTGGAATCATACCTGCTTCTTTTAATCTTTCTCTGAAAGGACAAATATTGTAATGAATTGAGCAAGTAGGTTTATATCATCGTTAAAGGTTTAAATTGATTTGTACCTTTCTTCCTTTCCTTTTTTTTTTTTTTTTTTTGTTGGTACTAGAGACTGGGGATTAAACCCAAGGGGGCATTTTAACACTTTGCCACATCCCCAGTCCTTTTTATTTTGAGACAGGGTCTTGCTAAGTAGCCTAGGCTGGACTGAAATGTAGAATTCTCCTGCCTCAGCCTCTAAGTTACTGGGGTTACAAGTGTGTGCCACCACATCTAGTTTTAATAACTATAGTCTTCTTTTCATAACTCTTATTTTTGTTGCACACACTGATCACTGTAATCTTTGCTCTCTTTGTGAAGTAAAAAAATTTTAACAGGAAGAAAAGACAGTTGATAACTTTGGGCCACATGACATAGTTGGAGAAGTCAAGCCATTTTGATTAAAAATGGAGAGAATACTAAACACCTTGCCCACTTATCTTAATTGACCCAAAGATCTATTCTTATTCTTCCATTTAGGCTGTCATTTACCATGAAGATGAATAAGATACGGGTTTTGCCTTTATGAAGCTTAGTGTACTGACAAGCAATGAAATAATTTATTCATGCATTCATTCCACAGATATGAATTGAACTCTTATTATATACCACACCTAGTTTTTGACACAGGGGATACAGCAGTCAACAAAACATGAAAATTCCCACACTCATGTCATTCACATATGAGCAGTAAACCGAGTATAAATAAATAATTATTAGAAGAGAAGTGTAGAGAGAAATTAAAGAAGTGTTAGGGACTTTGGGAAGGTAAGGTGGGAAGAAAGGATGCTTAAAATTTTAAATAAGGTGGTCAAAGGGGACCTCAATAAAAAAGTGACATTCGAGCAAAGTTCTGAAGGAGATGAAGGGAATGATCCTTGAGGATAAAGGAGGGAAGAGCATTCTTGGCCAAGAAGAAAGATTTATAAGGCCCTAAAGCAGGAACAGACCTGCCATGTTTCAGGAACAGCAAGAAAGCCAATGTAAATGGAACAGAGTGAAGGAAGAGTTAAGAGGGTGGTACAGTGGAGGGACACTGTGAAGGCCTCTGTAAATCATGTGGACTTTTTATCTTCTCCAAGTGAAACAGGACCCAATGGAGGGTTTTGATCAGAGGATATAATTAACATTTTAAGGGGATGACTGACTAGCTGTTGCACTAATAATCTGGTTGGGAGTGAAGAGTGGAAGCAAGGAGACAATCTGGAGTTTGTGGCCATAATACAGGAACTATACAAGTGTCCTGGACCAAAGGAGTAGCAGAAATTATGGAAGTGGTCAGATTTTGAAAATATTTTTGAAGGTTTAGTTTGAGGATTTGCTGGCAGATTGAGTTTGTTTATGAGAGATGGAGGAGTCAAAAATAACTCAAAGGGTTTTGTCTTGTTTCAAGTTGCCATTAACTAAGATGGGAATTTTGTGAAGAAAGAGTAGCTTTTTAGGGGGAAGATAAGGATTTTGATTTTGAACATGTGAAATTGGAGATGTCCATCAGACATTCAAGTAGAGATGTATAGAGGAATATGAATTCAGGAAAGTCTGGTTTGTAGTGCTTATGTGATATTTATCAGCTTACAGAGCACGTGAAGTCATGAAACTGGATGAGTGCCTATATTAGTCCATTCTCTGTTGCTATAATAAAATATCTGAAACTGGATACTTTATAAAGGGGTTAATTTAGCTCACAGTTTTAGAGTTATAAAGAACAAAATTAGATGGCCCCATAAATGCAGCCTCTGATGAGGGTCCCCTTGGCTATATCACATCATGGTGGATGGCATCATGCTGGGAACACAAGTGAGAATGAGAGGTCACACAGTAAGACAGGAAGGCCAGAGAGGGGAGGGCCTAATCTTATACTTTTAAAACAACCCTCTAGTAGGAACTAACAGAAGGTCTCACAAGAACCACATTAATTCTGGGGGGAGTGCCCCCAGTGACCTCCCATTATGCTCACTTCTTAAAGATTGTACCACCCACTGCAATAGGGATCAAGCTTCCAACATGTTAACACTTAGAGGACACACTCAAACCATATCCAAACCATAGCTGAGCCACAAAGAAGTCAACATAGAAGAGGCCCTCAGATGAATTCTGGCACTTTCCAAAATGCAGAGGTCAGAGAGATGAGAATCCAACAAAAGAAAGTTGAAAAGGAGCAGCTATTGAGGGTGGCATTCTGGGTTGAGGAGACAGTGTTTCAGAGAAAAGGGAGTGATGACTAAAACAGAACATGCTGGGAATCACTTAAGGTAAGGATGAAACGATTATTATCTTGAATAATGTGGAGGTGACCTTGATAACATCACCTGATTGGAGGTGATTCAAAGAGAATGTTGGAATAAAACTGGATTCAGTGAGTACAGATAAATCATTTGAGGAGTATTACTTTCAGGAAGAAAAGGAGAAAAATAAAGTACCATAATAGAAGGTTAAGACAAAGTTGTCTTGACAATTAGAAAAGTGGTAACATGTCTGTATGTTGATGGGAAAGATACAGTTGGAGGAAAAGATGGGGAATGAGATGAGAGGCTTGCCATGTTAACACCCTTATAAAAGAGAGGGATGATCAATGCACAGGAAGAAATCCTTTTCTTCGATGGAAGCACAAAGAGTCGGCCCACATTAATAGGATGGAAAGCAAAGTGAATGAGCTCAGTTGTATGTGGTGGTGTGGATGTGGCAGTGGAATTTAGTTCTTTTGCTTTTTTATTAAAGGAATTTTTTGGTACTAGGGATTGAATCCAAGGGTTCTTAATTACTGAGCCACATCCCAGTACTTTTTGAGATAGAGCCTCACTAAGTTGCTTTGATTTTGAACAAGCTGCTGAGATTGACTTTGAACTTGTGATCTACCTGCCTCAGCCCCCACATCCCAGTCCCTGGGATTACAGGTGTGTGCATGCCACCA